ATGAGGTAGGTAGATATCTGATTACCAGGAAAACTTTGCAAATCAGACAAAGCTCTAAGACACTGGGTTTTTAGGCAGGAGCAGATGGAATTATTTTAGCTTCCACTTTTTCCTTTTAGTCTTTCTTTTCTTATTATGTCTCTGCCTGCAAGAGCTTTGACATTGCCCAGAAGTAGCTAAGGTTTATGTGGTTAGAGCAATGCAACTCAAAATGTAGACTGACAATATCAGCAAGGCCTGAAAGCTTGCTAGAAATGAAAATTTGCTCCCCTCCCCAAAGGCCTACTGAATCAGAACCTCTGGGATGTGGCCCAGGAACCTGTGTTTTCATAAGCTCTCCAGGTAATTGCTATATTTGCTAAAGTTTAATATGCACAGAGGGAGCAATAGTGGGAGGTTTTAAAGAGCATTTTGGGGAGCTAGATATTAGTAGACAACACTAGATTAGCTTGCCAAAATTCCATTTCTCTTTATATCGTTTGGAATTTCATCCAGGGCTAAGGAGAGAACTGCAGGAAGATTGGATCCATGGCTTCTCCACAGGCTGAGTTCAATCCCACACCAAGGTCTTTTAAATGGCCCTGGATGATCTGTTTCACAGAAACTCAGACTGGGGATTCTAGATAAGAAATTGTTTGGGAGTTAAAGTAGAAAAAAAGTCCAGTGGAATTATTACAAACTCAAATGCTAAAAAGAAATAACAAAAAGTGTATACCTAGAACTCTGTTCCTAGAAATGAGATTTTCCCCATCTCTGAAAAAAGAATGAAATCAGTTTCCAAAACAGGTTTTGTTCTCACAGATAGGATAAGATTTAGGGAGAAAGGATAAGATTAGGAAGAATGAAATCAAGTGGAGGAAATAACACTAAGAAGAAAATTTGAAATCATATTGGCTCAGTTAGAAAAATATGACAAGGAAAAGTTTTAAATAGGGGAACGAGAATAGGCATTAATGAGAACTCTTCGTTTCTTCCTTAATAACTGGACCTGTGATACTCCAAAGCTAAAGAAATGTGAACATGTTTAAAAAGAGAATGATCAGTGTAGAATTCTTCAAGCATCACTAAGTGAGTTTCAAGGTGGCATTGTTTTTGTAGATGAGGCAACAGGTATTGCACCGGCTATAAGGACATCTGCCTGAGAAATAGAGCTGTATTAAACAATGTCCAGGGAGAACGATAATTGATCAAGCCCAGGCTGGGGTTTAGGCTGAACTGAATAGAAAGAAATGCCTCCTAGTGAAAATGAAAGTGGGAAGAAGGTTTGTTTTTTTTTTTTTTTTTTTTTTTGAGACGGAGTCTTGCTCTGTTGCCCAGGCTGGAGTGCAGTGGTGCAATCTCGGCTCACTATAAGCTCCGCCTCCCGGGTTCACGCCATTCTCCTGCCTCAGCCTCCCTAGAAGCTGGGACTACAGGCGCCCACCACCACGCCCAGCTAATTTTTTTGTGTTTTTAGTAGAGACTGGGTTTCACTATGTTCACCAAGACGGTCTCAATCTCCTGACCTCGTGATCCGCCCGCCTCGGCCTCCCAAAGTGCTGGGATTACAGGCGTGAGCCACCATCCCCGGCCGAAGAAGGTATTTTAACACTGGATGTCTGCAGCAGGTCCAGAGCTCTGTGACATCATTCTTTCTCTACAGAGACCTCAGAAGCAGATTCCAAAGTAATATGTGAGGAGAACAAAAATCTAAGTCTGAAAACAAAAAGCAAATATAGAGAAGGAAAATACTAAGACCTAGAAAAGGTATGAGTCCTACCGGGCAATAAAGAAGGAACAGAAACAACTTAGATGGAAGGGTAAAGGCTTAGAGCTGAGCAGGACCTGCTAAGTAAGAATGTTCTCAGAGGGACCTTGAACATTGCAGGCTTATCTCTGATACAGAAAAGGAAGCGGGAACAAGAAGTGTTTCAGTTCCCATCAAAGAAGCACCGACCATTTAAGTCTTGGAAATTCAATTCCAAGAAGGTAGGGCTTGGGCGAAATGCCACTAGTCCAGGGGATTTCCTGGACCTCATCAGACCAGTGAAAGTTCAGGTTCTGGAAACCCAACAGCAGCTCACAGATCAGCTGAGGGTAATTCCCCATGGGAGACAAAAGGGAAAATCTCCTAACCGGGAAGTAGGACTCACAGGCAGACATTCAATAATAGGACCCTGTGGAGTCCAGAACTAAAACAATTTAGGGAATCTTTCTGGGTTTATAGAAATTCAGAGAAAAGAGTGAGAAATGGAGATAGGAAAGGAAGCATGCAAGACAATGTATCTCACTTGAAGAGTTTCCTAAGATAAATATGGGGTGTCCTGCCCAGAAAGAAGGGAGGCTCTTTCACTAAACAGATAAAGATCTTCAGCAATGGTGAAGCTTGGGTAGAAATAGGGCTCAAGGGAGCAATGAAACTGGAAAGTTTCTAAACCCCTGGAACGGGCATCAAGAAAGACCCAGAGCCACCACTGCAAATGTCTAAAATTTTCAAGGAGAGTACAAAATGAATCCAACTACCCTGATAAGAAGACATTTCCCAATCTACGTTTAAATTGACACGTGGTAAACTCCAGACTGCTTGGTAACCGACAGAGGGTGAACTATGGCATGCTACATTCTACTTACTCCTAGTAATTTAGGGAGGCAAAGGAGAAGATAACAACAGGCTTCTTTCTGAACTTAACACCACGGGCCTCTCATTATACTCATGCTAGACTTTAGACCTCATCTCTCACTACTGTCCCCAGCTCTCTGCTCCAGCCATACTGGTTTCCATGACATTCCTAGAATATGCCAAGGATGTGCCTGCTTCAAAACCTCGGCATTTGCCAGTCCCCTGTACACCAAAGGAGTAGCATCTATTACAAAACAAGATTCCTAGGTTTCAACAGCTAGAACACACTCTCCATTCAGCAGGACACTCTGGCTGAGATTCAGCAGAAAAGATGTAGGATAGAAAAAATTGGGGACTTCATGCCTTTACATATTAGTTTATTTTACGAGGAGAGGTGGATTTTATTTATTCTTTATTTCTTTATCTGAGGCAATCTTGCTCTGTTGCCCAGGCTGAAGTGCAGTGGCGCAATCTCAGCTCACTGCAGCCTCAACCTCCCAGGCTCAAGAGATCCTCCCACCTCAGCTTCCCAAGTAGCTGGGACCACAGGTGTGTGCCACCACACCCAGCTAATTTTTGTATTGTTTATAGAGACAGTGTTTCACTATGTTTCCCAGGCTGGTCTCAAACTCCTGAGCTCAAGCAATCCACCCGCCTCAGCCTCCCATAGTGCTGGAATTACAGATGTGAGACACTGTACCCAGCCAGATTTTATTTATAGATTTTTATTTCTCTAAGAATTTAATAATTGGAGGGAATTCATATTCAATTTGCGAGCATTACTATGCAGCTGAAAATGTGTTAGGGGGGTAGGTTTATGTTGTCATGGTAGGTTTATGTTGTCATGAGGTGCTCCTTGTGCTTATGTTGTCATGAGGTGCTGCTTGTGCAAACTCTGCTGATACAGACAGGACAAGGTGCCAGGCTCAATATGATATGAAAAATAGGATAAAAACTGAAGCCGGACACGGTGGCTCACTCCCAAAGTAATCCCAGCACTTTGGGAGGCTGAATTGGGAGACTTCACCTGAGGTCAGGAGTTCAAGACCAGCCTGGCCAACATGGTGAACCCATGTATCTACTAAAAATACAAAAATTAGCTGGGCATGGTGGTATGCGCCTGTAGTCCCAGCTACTCAGGAGGCTGAGGCAGGAGGATCGCTTCAGCCCAGGAGGTGGAGGTTGCAGTGAGCCAAGATGGCACTCCAGCTTAGGTGACAGAGCGAGACTCCATCTCAAAAAAAAAAAAAAAAAAAAAATGAAGTTTCAGCCTCAGGTGTTACGTGGCCCTCAGGAGAGTCTAACACATTTCAGAGTCTTTTTTTTTTTTTTTTTTTTTTTGAGATAGAGTTTTGCTCTTGTTGCCCAAGTTGGAGTGCAGTGGCGCTATCTCAGCTCACTGCAACCTCTGCCTCCTGGGTTCAAGTGATTCTTCTGCCTCAGTCTCCCGAGTATCTGGGGTTACAGGCACACCCCACCACACCCGGCTAATTTTTTGTATTTTTAGTAGAATCAAGGTTTCATCATGTTAGCCAGGCTAGTGTCAAACTCCCAACCTCAGGTGATCCACCCGCCTCGGCCTCCCAAAGTGCTGGGATTACAATCGTGAGCTACCATACCCGGCCCAGAGTCTTCTAAATGCAAAGGCCAAACTGCCCACCCTGACCCACAAAAGCAGTGGTGAATATCACAGAGAGGCCTCAGGGAGGTAGCAGCAGGACCTACCCTCTTCTGCTGTTTTCCTTCAAAGGGGCAGCCTCTTCTGGTTGCCCATAAATTTATCTGATAAACCCACAGGATTAAAGAACAAAAGAAATAGTAGTGACGGCTGCACTACAGCCATCCCACTAGGGGGAGCTGTGGAGTTAATACAGTTGGCACCTAGGGCTTCCTCAAAAGGCTGCAAGGGAAGAATTTCTAAGCAGCCTGACCTTAATCAGGCCTCTGTTCTCTATGTCAAGTTAATGTGCTTATACATGGCCTAGTCCTGAGGCCATTTTGCCTGCCAGTGCCTGACACAGTGGGACCCACGTTTCTGGTCTCCCGGAAGTTGGTTCTAGTTGCCGATAATGAATACCCTTAGGGTTCAGTTGTCTTAAATTTGGGGTGAGACACAAAATGCTTTACAAAATTCTCAATTTAGGACTCCCAGGGAGCTCTAAATAAATCAGTCCACCCTTGGTCTGTGCCCTCTACGAGCCAGTACCCTGCAGGGAAGGGGATAAGTGGTAAGGTTCAGGCATCCTAAACCCCAGACACAGCTAACAAAGTTTCTTAGACCTGGAACCCCTGTCTCTTGACTCCCAGAGTAGCACTTTTATGCCCCCCACACACACTGCATAGCTCAATTCACATAGGCGATTTGTCCTGAGGCACAAGAAAGACAGACATCTACACCCACCTGCTGGGGGAGTTGCTATTGTTATTTGCACCGAGTGCGCCTTAGGAGATCCCAGCAGGGTCACGTTCACCGTATAATCAGTCGTAGGGTACAGATCCAAACACACTACAGGCGCTCGCTCCCACGTTGTGAAGTTAAACGATGTTGCGTGACAAAAGTTATCCAGATACCACCTCTGACCCAGAACGGTAAACTGCCATGAGATTAAAAGAAAGTGTTGCATTAAATTTTCCATTGGCTAACAGGTACCTAGACTATTAGCAAAATGGAGTTAAAGCAAGAAAGTTCCTTTTATTTATCCTTGCCTACTTATAATTATTTTTAAGACAGTAGCAAGTTAACCTGAAGAAGGACTTCACAAAGCTACCTTACCTGTCCTCACAATCAGGTATAGGACCAAGCTTAAAATGCATTAACTACATCTCAGATGAAGAAAATGTTAGTCTATTCTAAAATAATCCCTTGATTATCACCCAAATGAAAGAGATTACATTGGAGCTAATGGGCAAAATTATTTTTTTTTTCTCCTTCCCTTCTGAATAGTTCTCTCTCTCTCTCGCTCTCTCTCTCTCTCTCTCTTCTGAGACAGGGGCTGGTTCTGTCACCCAGGCTGGACTGCAGTGGCACAATCTTAGTTCACAGCAATCTCAAACTTCTGGACTGAAGTGATTCTCAGCTTCCCGAGTAGTTGGAACTACAGGCACATGCCACCACACCTGGGTAATTATTGGATAATTATTTTTACAATTTATTTGTAGAGACAGAATCTTACTTTGTCGCCCAGGCTGGTCTCGAACCCTTGGCCTCAAGCAATCCTCGCACCTCAGCCTCCCAAAGTGCTGGGAATACAGGTGTGAGCCACTGCATCCAGCCAAAATTTTTTAAATTTCTTTTCATTGTAAGAAATCCATGGACAAGCCTCATAGAACAGAGTACTTAAACTAGGTGGGTTCCTTAACCCTGCCCATGGAGGGGAAAAAAAACAAAAACATATGGGGACAACCCCAGATTATGCATTCAAAGCAAATGCCATGGTACTTCACTGGGCCCTTCCTATTAGACCTCTGGTAAAAGGGCTTTTGATCCGTGGAGTTATATTACACAAATCATCCTCTACCCACTGCCAGCTCCAGCAGGGGGTTATAGGGAAAAAACTTTCGTGAAGGTCCCATAAGTAATATGATCAGCCCTTGATCAGTTAGTGTGCATTAACTGGTGGAGACATATGCTCAGTGTTGCCACTGATGCTAGCACCATTGTCTATACCACCCGCAATCCCTCCTTATTCCCGTCACTCACTCACTCTTCTCTATCAATTTCCACAGTCATCCAAGACCCTGACACGTGGTTCATAAGGATTCTTCTCTCTCAAACTCTTTGAATTCTCTTGGATAACTTAAAGGTCCTTACAGATAAACCATCAAATATTGGCTTCAGAGTTCTTAGAGCTCAATGCTATGAACTTCCTTCACTCCACCTCTGCCACCCATATCCATGGCCACAACCTAGACTGTGCTATCGTCGGAGCTGCTCCCCCACGGTCTGGCAGTCCCCTATTCTTCTGAACCACTTACTAGTGAGGCATAATGTGTTCATGCGTGTTTAGGCAATATGTCTATTCTCTTTAGCAAAACACTTTTAAATATTGACTTTTTTTCAGTCAATTTAAGAGTGTTTCACATGTCACACAAATTAACCTTTATCTAACTTTTTTTTTTTTTTTTTTTTTTGAGACAGAGTCTCGCTCTGTCGCTCAGGCTGGAGTGCAGTGGCACGATCTTGGCTCACCGCAAGCTCCACCTCCCAAGTTCATGCCATTCTCCTGCCTCAGCCTCCCGAGTAGCTGGGACTACAGGTGCCTGCCACCACGCCTGGCTAATTTTTAGTATTTTTAGTAGAGATGGCGTTTCACTGTGTTAGCCAGGATGGTCTCCATCTCCTGACCTCGTGATCCACCTGCCTCAGCCTGCCAAGGAGCTGGGATTACAGGCGTGAGCCACCGCGCCCAGTCAATTCCTACTTATTTTCTATGACTCAGTATAACAGTCTTTGCTTCTGGTTAAAAAAATTGTACCTGGGCCTGGCAAGTGGCTCACATCTGTAATCCCAGCACTTTGGGAGGCCAAGGCGGCTGGATCACTTGAGGTCAGGAGTTCGAGACCAGCCTGGCCAACATGACAAAACCCCATCTCTACTAAAACTACAAACATTAGCTGGGCATGGTGGCGCATGCCTGGAATTCCAGCTACTAGGGAGGCTGAGACATGAAAATTGCTTGAACCTGGGAGAGGGAGGTTGCAGTGAGCCAAGATCACACCACTGCACTTCAGCCTGGATGACAGAGCAAGACTCCATCTCAAAAAAAACAAAAATTTGTACCTGGACACAAACACACTTACAAATAAAATCTCTCTTTTTATACTTATTTACTTTTATTATTCCATTATTAATTTACTTTTTGTCAAAGCACTCATTATACCACATTGTAGTTGCCTGTTTACCTATATATTCTATTAGTTTGAATTGGAAACTTCCAGGTCCTAATACGTGATATCCTTTTGGTAAATAGAATAAATTAATTAATTTTGACCTGGGCACAGTGGCTCACACCTGTAATCCCAGCACCTCGGGAGGCCGAGGTGGATGGATCACTTGAGGTCAGGAGTTCGAGACCAGCCTAGCCAATATGGTGACATGATATATCTACTAAAAATATAAAAATCAGCAGGGCATAGTGGTGCACACCTGTAATCCCAGCTACATGAGAGGCTGAGGCACGAGAGTCACTTGAATTTGGAAGGTGGAGGTCACAGTGAGCCAAGATTGCCCCACTGCACTCCAACCTGGGTAACAGAGAAAGACTCAGTCTCAAAAAAAAAAAAATTTTTTTTGGCCGGGTGCGGTGGCTCACGCCTGTAATCCCAGCACTCTGGGAGGCCGAGGCGGGCGGATCACGAGGTCAGGAGATCGAGACCATCCTGGCTAACACAGTGAAACCCCGTCTCTACTAAAAAATACAAAAAATTAGCCGGGCACGGTGGTAGGTGCCTGTAGTCCCAGCTAAATGGGAGGCTGAGGCAGGAGAATGGTGTGAACCTGGGAGGCGGAGCTTGCACTGAGCTGAGATGGTGCCACTGCACTCCAGCCTGGGCAACAGAGTGAGACCCCATCTCAAAAAAAAAAAAAATTTTTTAAATGTAATACTTACTGAATTTACTGTCCACCAGATGACTTGCTAGGCACTAAAAATGACACAAAAATAAATCTCAGTTCCTGCCTGAATTTACTTATCATTTTACTCATGATGTTTAAGAAAATATCAAGTTAAATGAGTACCAATAGCCATCCAATGAGTTCCTTAAAATTCCATGCCCAGGGTGGGCACGGTGGCTCACGCCTGTAATCCTAGCACTTTGAGAGGCTGAGGTGGGCAGATCATCTGAGGTCAGGAGTTCAAGACCAGCCTGACCAACATGGAGAAACCCCGTCTCTACTAAAAATACAAAATTAGCCAGGTATGGTGGCGCATGCCTACAATCCCAGCTACTCAGGAAGGCTGACGCAAGAGAATCGCTTGAACCCGGGAGGCAGAGATTGCAGTGAGCCAAGATCACGCCACTGCACTCCAGCCTGCACAGCAAGAGCGAAACTAAGTCTAAAAAAAAAAAAAAAAAAAAAAAAAAATTCCATGCCCAAATGTGAATCTGATAGCAAAATAAGCTGTATTATTTAATGCATTAAAATAAAATATAAGCTTGAAATGCCAGGCACAGAAAATGATAGCAAGTCACCAAATATAGTATCTTTCTTCAAGTTAGTTCCTCATTTACATCCATCTCACATCTCACATCCATCTCTAGAAACAAAAATCACAAACTGTCTAGAAGTTCATTCATTTTTAAATACTTTGGATACTTACTTGGAGATCACCCAAAGTTTTAAATGACACAATTCTTTAATAGACAGCATAAGAGATCTCCTTACTTGGTACATGTGTTCTGATCCAACTTTCCTAGAATGCCTGTTCAGTTTCAAACAAGTTTCATTAAATATTGAAATATTGAATATTCCATCATCTTCTAAGAGATCATCTTCTAAAAGACAAGAGAGAAACTTATAGTTTGCACCAAATTAGCAAAATGCATCACGGTTGAATGCAAGTGAAACTCTGACATCTTAAGAGAGCCAACTGTGTGTTTAACAGGAATAATATTAAATCTGGCATCAATGGACTTATCTTCAAGTCCTGGCTCTCCAACTTCTCAATTGTAATTACCTTAGCTAAGTCACTGAACCTGTCTTCCTGTTTGTAAAATCAAGTAATTCAGCTTGCTTTTCTTATGTCACAGGCTGCTTAGATAAGCAAATGAAACATTTAATAATTGCTATAAATTAATAAAGAAAGCTGTGATATTTTTAGAAAGTTAATCCTGTCACTTGGATTGTCCATAGTAAAATGTCATGAAGGTAAGCATAGCAGTAGCCAGAAAGTCTGAGAATAAGGAAAGTGGCAAATAAAAATCAAAGGCTATAGATTTAAACTCTCAGAGCAAGTGCTTTCCAACCTAGAAAATAACCAGAAAGTAGATGACCAAGCAAGAGGAAATTTGCTTTCACAGCAGACAGTATTTCAAGAGCTACTCAGCTGAGTACTAAGGCAATAAAATAATCAGAAAGCAGACTTGTTTTAACCATTGGACAGAAAAAAAGTCATTTCATACCTCCTGCAGTCTAATTCATTCTTACAATGTTCTATTTTCTTAATGTAGTCTAAAAGGATAGATTTGTTACTAATGAATTAAAGAAATAACAGAGTCAGGAATAACATCAGTGATTTTCAAGAAAAAGTAAATTTCCTAACAAACAAGACTGTACTTTTTCTACCAATGGGAAAGGTGTAAATGTCTACCAAAGAGAAGCTATTTTATAACTACCTTTAATGTGTATTTCTCCTGTGGGAGTTTCTGCTACCTAAGAATGAGAACAATAATTTATTTTAGTCAAGATCAGAATTGTCCACAGCATTTTCAATGTCACTGACATATTCAGCACAAGGCAACTAGCTGGGGAAAATATTCCTGCCTATAATTGGAAAGTGTAGAAAGACGGTTATGAGACAGAATTTGAAGACCTATCATATGTGCTCTCCTTTGTCGTCACAATTTTTTTTAACAGATTTCATAAGGACATCAGAAATGAAAATGGTCACATGTATGCATGCGATTTTGAGGAACACCAAGTGTCTGCATGTAAGAAATGCATGTATGTAAGAAATACCACATAAAGCTTCTGTCTCTGTACAGGCAGAACAGAAGCAGAAGTACTGTCTGCACAGTTCATATCTCAATATGATTTTCACATAAGATAGTCATTATCGTCTGAATTCAGGGGAAGATGGTAATGTGAACAAAGGCATCTGGCTCCCACTTCCCACGCCCAAGCCTGACAGAAGTGATGGAGAATAAGTAAAAATGGGTCAAAATTTGCATCTGGGTTGGAAAGAAGGGTCGGTTGCCATACACAAGGCGGAAACATGAAGACATTTCAGCTTGGCACAGTATGGAAGAGCCCAGGCTAAAGAAAGACCCTAAGACCTACTGTGCAACCTGGCTTCCAAGCAAAGGAATGTAGTCCCAAAGTTTCAAAAGAAAGAACTGGAGAACTAGAGCCCATGGAAAAATCAAGACAGGTCACAGGACAAATCAATGACCCATGCTCTATCTGGAGCCATTTAGCCCAGTGGTTCCCAAACTGCACCTCAGAATCACCCAGACATCTGCAGATTTGAAGTAATGCTTTGACATCTGTATTTTTTTAAGAGTTCACCTGACAATTCTTCTTCTCTGTCTCTCTTTTTTTAAACAGGGTCTCACTCTGTCACCCTGACTACACTGCAACCTCCACCTCCTGGGCTCAAGCAATCCTCCCACCTCAGCCTCCTGAGTAGCTAGGACTACAGGCATACACCACCAAGCCCAGCTAATTTGGGGGGTTTCCTTTGTAGAAATAGGGTTTCACCATGTCCCCAGGCTGGTTTCAAACTCCTGGACTCAAGCCATCCACCTGCCTCAGTCTCTCAAAGTGCTGGGATTACAGGCATGAACCACCACATCCCTAACCTCACCAGGCAATTCTGATAGGCAATCAGGTATATATTAAAAATAATAGTATATATACTACTATTGCTACTGCTAATAATAATAATGGTAATAATAATAATAATAGCCCTTCTGTAGCCCACTGTAGATTAGTAATAGGGAAGGACTTCGAAGTAGAGGCCTCAGGACCTGAAGGTACCATCTGGCAGAGAGGCTGGGTTAACAGAAGGGGCTTGCCTCTTTCCTGCCTTGGTAGGCTGTAATGCCATAAAGAAGCCAGGCCCAAAGCCAACAACTTCACCAATCATAGCAAAATGCTCAGAAACAAAGCACAGGGTGGTGGGCTTTCTCACAGCTGCTGCCCAAAGGACACTGGATCACCCAACCAGCAGTAAATCCATTCATACTGAGATCTGATATAAACATACTAACATTATCCAATGGAAAGGAAGATCACAGGGAAGGCCATCCATTTTATTATGAGGGAAATATCAGACCTAGACTGAATTTTTATCTTCTAAGGATAAATAATCCAGAAGGGTGGAAAAAAAAACTGCAAAATGATTCTACAAAGAAGGAGAGGGAAGGAAAGGAAGATTGTGCTCGGGAGGCAAAGAACAAGCATATTTATAAACAAGAAAATATTGAGCAAAAGAATGGTAAAATTAGGTAGCATCTGTTTTGTACGGTAAATAAAATTTTTTAAAATAGATTCAAACAAGAGATAAAGGATGAGATAATAAGAGAACGTGACAGCAGAGAGGAAACTGGTAGAGAGAAGCAAAAATAAAAAGGGAACTAGATGAGACCCAAAGAAAAGGAAATGAAAGTGCAACAGCAGAATTTAAAGTGCATTGGAAATGGTAAAGATAGGAAATGTCAATGCAAAAATGCATATTTGCGTAAGTGCACATAGAGAACAAGCTTGTTATATATTCAAAGAAGGCAGAGGAAAAAGACATGGACAATAAAAAGGAGAAAATGGGAAACCCATGTGGACAAACAAGCAATTCCACATAGGGGTATTTGAAGAGCAAAAAACAAACTTTTCTTTAAAAAGCAATAATCAGAGATGTAATAAAATAAAATGTTCCTAATATATAGTTAAGCCAAATTCTAAAGACCAAAAAACTCAGGGGGCTGGGTAATCCCAGCACTTTGTGAGGCCAAGATGAGTGGATCACTTGAGGTCAGGAGTTTGAGATCAGTCTGGCCAACATGGTGAAACCCTGTCTCTACTAGAAATACAAAAATTATCTGGGTGTGGTGACACACACCTGTAATCCCAGTCACTCGGGAGGCTGAGGCACGAAAATCTCTTGAGCCCAGGAGGTGAAGGTTGCAGTGAGCCAATATCACACCACTGTACTCCAGCCTGGGTGACAAAATAAGACTCAGTCTCAAAACAACAACAACAACAGCAGCAACTCACAGGGTACTTGGAAAACAGTGCAAAACATGAACATTTCTATCTGCCCACTACCCAGACAAGAGGTTTCATGAAGGAAGAGACTTCTGTTTTTACTATCGAATTCTCAATGCCTAAAAAACATCAGACACATAATAGGTGGTCAATAAACATTTGCCAGGTACATTAATAAATGATTAATGTCTTAAACTTTATGGCTAAAGAAGCCTTCATGATACATAAGCTGAAAAGCAAATTGCTTACATAGAATTTTTTATATTTTATTTATTTATTTGAGACAGTCTCGCTCTATCATCCAGGCTGGAGTGCAGTGGTGTGATCTTGGCTCACTGCAACCTCCGCCTCCCGTGTTCAAGCAATTCTCATACCTAAGATTCCCAAGTAGCTGGAACTACAGGCACACACCACCACCACCGCCCCCCCCCCCCCCCCCACCGCCAGCTAATTTTGTAATTTTGGTGTTTCGCCGTGTTGATCCTGGCCTCAGGTGATCTGCTCACCTAAGCCTCCCAAAGTGCAGGGATTACAGGCATGAGCCACTGCACCTGGCCAGGATTTAAAAAAAAAAAGAAAATCACACCTTCTTCTAACTCTTCTTTCAAAGCTTCCAGTTCCCAATGTCAATATGAAATACTTCTAGAATTCCAAGAACAAAAGTTTATGACCCAACAATTTTATCTTCAATCAAGCTCTCATTCACATGTGAAGGCAACAAAAGACATTCTCAGATCATCATGGACTCAGAAAGTATCCCATTGCCTCCCTGAGGAGCAGGCAAATCACCCTACAGAGAGAGAAATAGAGATAGAGAAATAATAGAGAATGTGGTTTGAAAAGACTGTCAATAAGCACTGAAACTATTAAAACATGTACCCAAGGTTAAATCATTGCTACCAAGGTTTCTATAAATCAATATAAGAGTGAGCTCTTTGAAGAGATAATACATGTTAAAAATAAGAAACTGGTAATATAATGCCATACTAAACCAATAACCTAAGAGGAGAGAGAGGGGAAGAAATAAAAGGGAGTTTTGTAAATAAAAGGAACGCTAACTTATCTCATTCAGGGAAAAGTTAACAATATTTCAGTCTTAACACTGGTGAAAAAAGAAATACACACTCAAATAGAATTTGTCTTTTTTAAATGTGATCACTTGTAGAAAAGAAAACAAAATCTATACTATCTGACTCATTGGAAAAGGAAATCTGTGTAACAAAAAGAAAACAAAAGACACAGCAAAGTAGCATTAAAAAGGGAAAAAACAGACCAGGAACAGTGGCTCACACCTGTAATCCCAGCACTTTGAGAAGCTGAGATGGGAGGATCCCTTGAGGCCAGGAGTTCAAGACCAGCCTGGGCAATATAGTGACACCTTGTCTTTACAAAAATTTACAAAATGAAAAAATTAAGTGATCTGCATAACTGTGGTCCCAGCTACTTGGGAGCTGAGGTAGGAAGATTGCTTGAGCCTGGAAGGTCAAGGCTGCAGTGAGCCATGGTTGCACCACTGAACTCCAGCCTGGGCAACAGAGCTAGACCATATCAAAAAAAAGAAAGAAAAAAAGAGGCCAGACGTGGTGGCTCACGCCTGTAGTCCCAGCTACTCGGGAGGCTAAGGCACAAGAATTGCTTAAAACCGGGAGGCCAAGGTTGCAATGAGCCAAGATCACGCCACTATACTCCAGCCTGGGCGACACAGCGAGATTCTGTCTCATTCATAAATAAATAAATAAATAAATAAATAAATAAATAAAAGGAAAATCATATCACACATAAGAATGATGTAAGTTGGATAACTTATCTAATCAAAAATAAAAGTTTTCCAGAAAGGCTGTCAATACATGCTGTCTCCTAGAGTACATTTATAGCAATATTACTCAGATAGCTTTCAAAAAGGAAAAAAAGTAGACAAAGGCATATCATGCAAATGCAAGCACAAATAAATCAAGAAGACAATATTACTTTCAACATATAATTCAAGGCAAAGGTATTAAACAGGCTAAAACAAGCCATTTGTTACTAGTGAAAGAATCTATAATAAAGATATCAGTCATGAACATAAAAATCATATCAAAATGTGTGAAACAAACCAATAAGAATTTCTAAGAGGAACAGAAAATGGCAATCCATGTTAAAAATAAACAAAAACCAGAAGTACTGAATAATTCTATTAATAAAGTTGACTTAATAATAGATCTTACTCCCCTTACAGACAAACACTCTACCTTATTATCTAGCACCTACTGAAATTACCAAACTTGGCCAAATGCTAAGACCCAAGAAAATGTCAATAAATACTCCAAAGCATACCAAAATGTAATAAAACTAGAAAATAACAACACAGTATAAATGTTACAAAGAAAAAATCTACCACTGTATAAAATGCTTATAATTAATTATTCAAAGAGAAAATCACAATAGTAATTATATAATGCTTTGAAAGTAAGGGTAAAGAGAATACATATTAAAACACTCATAAATAATTATTCTGTCAAACAGAAAATCAGAATAGCAATTATATGATGCCTGGAAACATGTATCAATGCCTAAAGAATTCTGCCAAAGCTCAAATCTGCAAGAGAGAAAGAAACATTAAAGACTTTTATTATCAAACAGAAAAGAATGAAAATAAGTTGAATTTTGTTATGTATTCAGCTCAAGAATTTAGAAACAGAACAATATAACCAATTTAACAGAAATATGGACTGTGCACTGTGACTCACACCTATAATCCCAGTACTTGGGGAGGCGGAGGCAGGCATATCAATTGAGCCCAGAAGTCCAAGACCAGCCTGGGCAACATGGCTAAACCCTGTCTCTACAAAAAATACAAAAATTTGCCAGGCATAGTGGTGCATGCTTGTAGTCCCAGCTACTTGGGAGGCTGAGGTGGGAGGATCACTGGAGCCCAGGAGGTCAAGGTTGCAGTGAGCCGTGATTGCACCACTGCATTCCAACCTGGGTGACAGAGCTGGGTGTCTCAAAAAAAAAAAAAAGAGAGAGAGAGAGAAACATGGAGAAGAAAAAATAAAAACAAGAGGAGAAATTAGTGAGTTTGAAAAAGAAAAACAATTTCAAAACCCAAGAGTTCATTCCTTGGAGAAAAAAAAATAGTAATAAAACACACAACCCAAACCAATCAACCTCTAAAAAGAGAAAGAGAACCAAACTTAGGAGTCAGAATAACCTGGGATTATATAACCTATAGACCCAGAGGAGATGAAAGCAAATATTCCATCTGACATTCTGCCAATATGTGTAATATATCAACCAAATATACACTTTTTGGAAAAATATAAAAATTGACTCAAGAAAATGTCAGAAACATAAACAGACCCAAAATCATGGAAGAAATTGACAAAGTTGTCAAAGAATCATCTCCTTAAAGGGGTGAAACTTCAATGATCTTTTGAGAAAACGTTCAACTTTAAAGGAAGGGAATAATTCCAATGTGACATAAACTATTCCAGAGGGAAAAACAATGGAAAACTTCCCAGTTCATTTTAAGGAAAATAGCATAACTCCGATAATGAAATCAGAACAGAATGTCCAGGATCTGGAGGAAAAGAATGACAAGTCTTTATAATAGTATAATAGTAAACAGAAGACTTGAGTACACACTGAGTAAATGTGGAAACATACCTTGCTCCCAGTTAGGATGGCTCAATATAAATCCTAATTCTCTCTAGATTAACTTGCAAATATAATCCAATTCCCTTTAGTCCAGAGACATTAAATAACTCAGCCATGATCAGCCAACTCTTCACTACAGACATAAGAGGCAAAACCAGATCTGCCTGACTCCAAAGACCATGTTTTTCCCAAGGGAAAGGAACTTGAACAGGTAATTGGATATTAGTAAAAACAGCTGATGCCAAACAGCAACCTGTCATCCTCACTGAATAGTGACTGGTGAGTGATGATCTTTTAAAGACATTTCCCTATAGCAGTTTACTAATAATTTTGTAAGGCTTCTCTGATTAGTTACCATATTAATTTTATAATATCTTTGCCTACATATTATTTACTTGCAAAGAATTAATTTTGTTTTATTTATATACAAATATGAAGAGACCTAATTTGTATAATCTCATAGTTGGTTTTATATTGTTAAGATTGGCAGACTTTTTCAACTATTTCTGCTGAATCTATGTCACTTCCCAGCTACTCAGGTTAAGGTACAGTTTAAGTGGGATAGCAAACAGCTAATTAAGAACTTTCTCAACTCCCCCAAAATAATAAATGACATCGGCCAGTTGTGGTGGTTCACACCTATAATCCCAGCACTTTGGGAGGCTGAGGTGGGCAGATCACTTGGGGTCAGGAGTTTGAGATCAGCCTGGCCAATATGGTGAAACCCAGTCTCTACTAAAAACACAAAAAATAGCCAGGCATCGTAGTGGGTGTCTGTAATCCCAGATCCTCAGAAGGCTGAGGCAGGAGAATCCTTGAACCTAGGAAGCGGAGATTGCAGTGAGTCAAGATAGCACCACTGCACTCCAGCCTGGGTGACATGGCAAGACTCCATCTCAGAAAATAAATAAATAAATGACATCAATTACTTCTCAAGGTTTGTCTACAGGGTTTTTTGTTTGTTTGTTTTCTGAGACAGGGTCTTGCCCTGTCACCCAGGTTGGAGTGCAGTGGCATGATCAGAGCTCACTGCAGCCTTGAACTCCCGGGTTCAAGTGATCCTCTTGCCTCAGCCACCTGAGTAACTGGGACTATAGGCATGCACCATCACACCAGGCTAAATTTTCTTTCTTTCTTTTTTTTTGGTAGACATGAGGGTCTCACTGTGTTGCTCAGGTTGACCTCAAACACCTGGCTTCAAGCAATCCTCCTCAGCCTCCCAAAGTGCAGGGATTACAGGCATGAGCCACTGTGCCCCACCTGTCTACAAAGTATTTAATTAGTCCTCATACCTCATAACCAGAGGTTTGTTTTTTTTTTTTTTACTTACTGTAATTGTCACAGTGTTTTTAAAAACCCATGTTACAATTATGTACAATGAGGTTTATTTCTACTTCTTAAAGCTCCTTCCCTCCACTCCTTTTTTCAGCTAACACCTACCCTCCTGCATCCTAGGGGTGCCTCTGCTTCTACCTCCCGACTCTCAACTTGATCCCCTTAAAGCTGCTGGGTCAGCCTCCCTGGCACCTCCTCTTTCACACGCAAGAGCAAGAAATGACTCTTTTTTTTTTTTTTTTTTTTTTTTTTTTTTTTTTTTTTTTTGAGACAGTCTTGCCTGTTGCCCAGGCAGGACTGCAGTGGCACTATCTCGGCTCACTCACTGCAACCTCTGCCCGCTGGGTTCAAGTGATTCCTGTGCCTCAGCCTTCCGAGTTGCTGGGACTGCAGGCGTGTGCCACCATACCCAGCTAAGTTTTTCTATTTCTAGTAGAGATATGGTTTTGCCATGTTGGCCACGCTGGTCTGGAACTCCTGACCTCAAGTGATCCGCCTGCTTCAGCCTCCCAAAGTGCTGGGATTATAGGCATGAGCCACCATACCTGGCCAGAAATGACTTTTGAGTTTACTGCCAAAGATAAGCCACATGGCTACCCTCTGTTGCCTTGGGTATTTGAGAGTGGACTGATCATCACCTAATGTTCTCCTTTTAAATGCCTTTTTATTACTTGCCACCTCTCCCTGAGGGCTCAGCTGAGAAAAAATACCCCAGAGCCCATTCAGCCTGGTACCAAGAGGATACGGATCTCTCGACCTGCTCTAGTTCTACGGCTGGAGCAACTACGTCTGAATATAAATCTCAGAAAGCAAATAGGAGCTCTCCGGCCCAGCTGATTCTGCAGCATACTTCCCCACATTCCGTGCTTAGCGTTTTCTAGGAGGAAATGAGGCTTCGCCTCCACCTACCAGCTGTCTGGAAACCAATGACGGCTGGCACAGAGCGCCTGGGAGGTGCTGTGGAGATGTTCACCGTGTAGTTGGTGCCTGGGTACAGGGCTAGGCACACTTCTGGGGTCCTGCTGTCTGTGGTCAAGTTGACTGTCTCCTCATGAACTGATTCCATAGGGTCCAACCGTTGTCCTTTTATGGATATCTTTGAGAGGAAAAGACAAGAGAACCCCCTATGACTCCAGTCAAAACAATCCAGAATTTGTGGTGCTGGAGCCCATTCTCCTACTATTCCATTTTATACTGCGCTGCTCAGCCAGGGAGCATTCGTAAGGTACATCTCTGCTGCCAGGTATCTGCTGATAAAGTCTGATCAGCCCGGTGAATATTAAACCCCTAGAAGAGACATAAATGAGGAATCTCCCTAGGAAGTGCTCTCCTGCACACGAATGATCAAATGGAGACAACTGCAACCTGAGGACCATTGGCTGCACTCTGTCACCAAGTCAGCAGACGCTCCCGGGCTTGCTCTGGGGGCGTGAAATACAAGCGCTTGGAAACAAGCAATCGTGAGGATGCCAAATATAAACGCATCCCCCACACACGCACCCTGCTGAATGACAAACATGTTAAACACAAAATGCAAAATAACGAAATAATACAGATATCTTCAAAAATTCCATCCGCTCTTTTTAAATGACAGTGGGATCAGAAAGCAGTTAGATTGAGGCCAGGCGCGGTGGCTCATGCCTATAATCCCAGCACTCTGGGAGGCCGAGGTAGGTGGATCATCTGAAGTCAGAAGTTCGAGACCAGCCTGGCCAACATGGTGAAACCCCATCTCTACTGAAAATACAAAAAATTAGCCAGGCATGGTGGTGCACACCTGTAATACCAGCTACTTAGGAGGCTCAGGCAGGAGAATCACTTGCACCCAGGAGGCTGAGGTTGCAGTGAGCCGAGATCACACCACTGCACTCCAGCCTGGGCAACAGAGTGAGACTGTCTCAAAAAAAAAAAAAAAAAAAAAAAGAAGCAGCATTTAGATTGAAAAGCTCTCACGGAGGCAAGTCCCTCTGACTCATATTCCCATGGGTGACGTGTCTGTCCTAGCAGGAAGAAGTGGATCATTTTACTTACCACATATGCAATCTTGGGGTTTATTCTTCCTGAGTTTATTTGCCATCTCACACAGGTATCATTAAACACTGATACATCATCAATTTTTGTCAGAATTTCTAAAAGAGAAAAAGGCAGTCAACTCGCAAAAATGCATCAATGGGCTTTAGGAAAATTCTGAGGGAGATCAGTCTGTCTGCTCAGCTGGTATCTCTACTGGTCACCATTCATCCTCAGAGGCGGACACTGAGTCAGGCAATGCAAGCTCTCCCAAGCCAATCACCCAGCTTCTCTTCATCAGGAATGAGCGTGGCCCATTACCTGACTTAGAGGGAAAGGAAAGATTCCTGCTTGGGTATAGGTCAGAATTCCAACCTATGATTCACTTGACAGGCCACTGATGCCACTGGCATTCCACTCGGGTAGAATGGAACGAGGCCCAGAACTGGGTCCTGAGTGAGACCTTCCCTGCAATTGCACAGGTGAGACCTGCTTCCACCTTTCTCTTCCCAGCAGGATGGTGGGAAACTCCTTCAAGTCACTGCTATCCCAAGGGGGAAAATGACATGTCTCACCACACAGGACCACGCCTCAGAAACAGGTTGGGGCAAACTAAAGAAATTCTCCACAAGGTTCCTAGGTACTTCTGGCACTCCTGTAACTGAAGCTATTTAATCTGCTTCTATCAGGAGGCCACGGATTCCTCTGGGTTGTTCTGCTTCTTTTAAATATTCTGCATGTATTCCAGGTAATGAATTTAGCAATGTGGGAAACCATATGAAGGCCTGGGTTCCCTGAGGCAACATAGTTTTCAACAGTCCCAGTCAACCCTCAAGTGGTTGTTGAGACAGGAAGAAGGAAAGTGGATCTAGCTTTTTATTTCTTTGAAATCAAATTCCCAGCCGGGTGCAGTGGCTCACACCTGTAATCCCAGCACTTTGGGAGGTCAAGGTTGGCAGATTACCTGAGCTCAGAAGTTTGAGACCAGCCTGGACAACATAGTGAAACCCCATCTCTACTAAAAATACAAAACTTAGCGAGGTGTGGTGACACGTGCCTGTAATCTCAACTACTTGTGAGGTTGAGGCAGGAGAATGGCTTGAACCTGGGAGGCAGAGGTTGCAGTAAGCTGAGATTGCACCACTGCACTCCAGCCTGGGTGACAGAGCAAAACTCCATCTCAAAAATAGTAAAATAAAATAAAATAAACTCCCTACACACAAGTAATCTACTTGCAAATGATATGATCTTACATATTTCTATATATAAAACTCTAAGGAATCCACACCAAAACAAGTATTAGAGCTGAGAAAGGAGGTCAGCGAGGTTGCGGAATACAATGCCAATGTACAAAAATCTATTATATTTCTATACACTAGCAATGAGCAGTCCAAAGATGAAATTAAGAAAATGATTTCATTTACAATACTATCAAAAACAAACAGGCCTGGCGCAATGGCTCACACCTATAATCCCAGCACTTTGGGAGGCCAAGGCAGGTTGGTCACCTGAGGTCAGGAGTTCGAGACCAGCCTGGCTAACATGGCGAAATCCCGTCTCTACCAAAAATACAAAAATTAGCCGGGCGCAGTGGCACATGCCTGTAGTCCCAGCTACTTGGGAGGCTGAGGCAGGAGAATCACTTGAACCCGGAAAGCAGAGGTTGCATTGAGCCAAGATCCTGCCACTGCACTCCAGCCTGGGTGACAGAGTGAGACTCCATCTCAAAAAAAAAAAAACAAAAACAAAAACAAACAAACAAAATTCCTGCAGACAGAAGCTATCATACAATTATTCCCGGAGAAAGTTATCCTCATGTCACCAAAACTGGATATTCCACAGCCCCAGTTCAAGCCTTCCCATTGAAGCAGACACCTCTTAAGAACTCCTCAACCTCTCTCAGCTTCCCCTGCTCCTTGTCCCATCCCTGCATGGGTTTTGACAACATGACCAGGTCTTGCCTCCTATTCTGGGGCTTCCCTGCTGTGGCACCCACACCCCAGCACATGCCATCTGGAAGTGCAGGGGAGTTAAAATCCCATGGGGACAGGAGCTGGTAGAGAAATCCTTCCTCCTTTCCTTTCTCTGAAGGGCTGTCCAACAAAGACTTAAGTTTCTTCAGTGTCTAAGGACACTGTCACACAGATGGGGTAATGCCCGCCCTCGGTGGAGACCAGTACAATCAGGCATCGTACGTTGACTCTCCTTCTTTCCCTGCTTTACTGCCCTTGGTTCCCACTTGTGATGCCTGGGATTTGATTCTCTACTGCATGATAAATATAAACCCAATGAAAGGCTCCCATCTAAGAAGAGTGAGAAAGCTAATTCTCCATCTCAGAAAATGACTCTCCACAACTCAGCTCCTGTTTCTCCCTTCTAGTAAATCTCTTTGCAGTCTCCAAGTACAAAAGGAAGCCTGTACCTTAGGTACCTGAAGGGCCAACCCTCTTCTCCTGTACTCGGAACCAATGCTAGCTTTGGATTGACCCAGATCTATTGATCGCTCTGCCCAAATAAGGGTTTATATCTTTACTAAATCATCCCTTCAGCAACAATGCCTAGTTTCTGTGTTCCACATGACCTGGTCTTGGGTAAGCCCAGGTCATCTATTAGCAAGCGAAAATCAATGGAGGCAGAGAGGGGGAAACAGGCAAACTCCTGCTGAGACACCAGAAAGGCCACCCATGGCTGTCTGCAGCATTCCTGGATCTCCATATTAGTATTTCTCCCTAGAACACACGCAAATTGAAATCAAATAAATACTCCAATTGTGGGCCAGGTGGGTGCGGTGGCTCACGCCTGTAATCCTGGCACTTTGGGAGGCTGAGACGGGCATATCACTTGAGGTCAGGAGTTTGAGACCAGCCTGGGCAACATGGTGAAACCCTGTCTCTACTAAAAATACAAAAAAATAGCCAGGTGTGGTGGTACACACCTGTAATTCCAGCTACTTGGGAGACTGAGGCACAAGAATCACTTGAACCCAGGAGGCAGAGGTTGCAATGAGCCAAGATTGTGCCACTGCACTGCAGCCTGGGCAACAGAATGAGACTCCAGTGCAAAAAAAAAAAAAAGAAAAGAAAAGAAAAGAAAAGAAAGAAAGAAAGAAAGAAAGAAAAGAGAAAAAAAAGAAAAGAAATACTCCAATTATGAGCATGGGTACCCTAAGAGACACAATGACCTTATCAGTTCACCCCCTTGGGTAGCATAAAGATGATGTCGGTACTACTCTTTTATCAGCCTGAACAAGCCCCAGATATTTCTGGCCTCTACCCTCTTTGCTGCCCTTCAAAGAGCTCTTGGCGTCTCTGCTCACTCACACATCCCTTTGATGCTAACTCACCACCTGGTCCAGAAAGAAAAGGCACCAGCCCAGCCCTCATCTTCTGAGTTGCCAGAAAAGCGAATTTCCTTCTTACTCTCAGTTCCTTTGTCATCCAAGCAGAGATTAGAAAGGAGTTTTCTTTCTTGTCCTTCCTTCTTGCTCATTCACTATGACAACTGTAAATGGCATCTCAAAGATGCCATCTGCCTCCAGCCTGTGCCATGCTCTCTGCACAGATGGGACCCAGATCCAATTATAGGGGTGTCAGATATTTCATCCCAGGGAGCAGTTTAACAAAGTTTGGTTGCTTTTCCCTCCAGGTGCCTACAAATTAGTTGGAAAGACTCCTTTATAAATGAATCAGATATTCAACATCTACATTAATGCTGCCCTTTGAATGGAGACTATATGCCCTCATTCCAATAGTGCTGATAACTGAAAACATTTCTGGAAGTCCTCTTTGGAGCTGTCCCAGAGCTCTTTCATTCCCTGCTCACTACTAACTGAATGGCTATCAAATGCCAAGCATCCTGCCACTCCAGGCACTGGGCTGTGACGATGTTATCTGCTTACTATGTAGGGAAAAAGTACTCTTAAAAGTCGTGGATCTGTTAATGGTAGTTGAAGGGATGGTTGCAGGTGAGATATGCTGGTAGGGCAGAGACAGTGAATGGCCCAACAGCAGGACACTGGGAAACACTGAAACTCGGGGGGTACCAGAGGAAAAAGGCAATGCAGAAGAGAGGCAGGAGGCTGGTAGAGTGACTGATGTCTAGGAAGGAAAGGAAGAACTTGAAAGAGTGTCTCTCAGCCTTCCAAGGCCAGGCACAGTAGCTGACACCTGTAATCTCAGCACTTTGAGAGGCCGAGGCGGGCAGATTACTTGAGGCCAGGAATTCGAGACCAGCCTGGCCAACGTGGCGAAAACACGTCTCTACTAAAAATATAGAAATTAGCCAGGTGTGGTGGTGCACACCTGTAATCCCAGCTACTTGGGAGGCTGAGGCACGAGAATCGCTTGAATCTGGGAGGCGGAGGTTGCAGTGAGCTGAGAGTGTGCCACTGCACTCCAGCCTGGGTGATACAACAAGACTCTGTCCCTAAAAATTAAAAATAAAAATAATTTCTTTAAGAAAATCATCAGCCTTCCTTCCCACCAGTCCCCCACAGCCTCCTCATTCCCTAGCCAAGAAGGGCCTGGAGCAGTTCAAGGCAGTGGGCGCAAGCTCCATCTCCCTCTCTCCTCTCACATGACCCTTCTCCCCTGATGGACTGCCCACAGCATCAGGATTAGATCTGAGGTTTGATTTTGGGTAGAGGTGGGAAGAGCAGGCCCTTGTCCTGTCTAGTTGTAGAAAACAGAGACCTCTCTGGCTTAAAAGAAGGAGGCCCACATAGCATCCAGCTGAACTCTCATTGGATTTGGGGAAAGAAAGCCTCAGTGGGTGATAAAGTAAGTGCCTTTGTTTTGCTTTACTCTGTGTGTGTGTGTGTGTGTGTGTGTGTGTGTGTACACATACATATATATATAATGTTATGTATATATAGATAGGTATAGATATATATAATGTTATGTATTTTGATATTTTGTTAGCATCTAGTATTTCTGTATGTGGTACTTATTACATTAACTAAATATGTAAGTCATTATATAATGACTACCTCTCCTGAATGTAACTTTACAATGGCAAAGACCATGTTTCTCTCTCTATCCTCAGGTCCTAGTATAGTGCCTTAAATATAGATATTAAAAAATATGTATTATTTGGTTGACTAGTTGAATGGATGGATAAA